GAGCCCGGCTCTGGCGTCCCTGTCGCCCACCAGCCCCCACGCTGTGCTCAGAGAGGCTGGCAGCACGGAAGGGCCCTGCGGGTGGCCGCTGTCCTCCAGCTGCAGGTAGTCCTGAGGACAAGGGGCAGCAGCCATCAGCTGGGGCGAGTAGCAGCCGGGACCCCCGTGCCTGGCTCTGTTCAAAGCGCTAACCCTTCACTTTGCTCCCAGCAGGGCAGAAGCAGTGGCAGCAGCCCCCAGGAGCTATTAATCCCCACAGCGGCCTGTGGCTCGCTAGGCTAAGTGCCCTGGGGTTGGTCCTGGTGCTGCTGTTCGGAGCCAGGCCATGCTCTAGCAGGAGCTGTTTGCCTGGTGCCAGACCCGGCCCCACTGGGTTAGCGACTACCCCAGACTCCAGGCCAGCCCCAAAGCGCTGGGGAGGAGAGTGCGGGGAGTAGTAGAGCCTGGAAGGGAGATAGCAAGGTCCTTAAAGGGCAAGTGCTCTCACCGCATCCTCCTCCACGATGTCCTCCAGCTCCTGGACAATAGCAGAGAAGCACGGCCGCTCGCGGGGGTCGTCCGCCCAGCACTGCTCCATGAGCCTGGCACTGGGGCGCGCACAGCAGGGAGTCAGGCCCAAGCACAGCCCGAGGGCAACAGCTGCTGTGCCACAGCTCCCAGGCCCACCACCATCTGTGCTGGGGGCAGGGAGGAAGCCCCAAGCCCTTCTCCCCCAGCTGCTGCGGCCTGGACTGTGCCCTTCCCCAGCCAGGAGCCCCTGTCCGAGGCAGGCAGAACCCTGCTCACATTTGCTCTCTGCATCCAAGTGGCCTGCTCATCCGGTACCCCGAGCACACGTGGAACATAACTGCCTCAGAGTTGTCCAGGTACGGGTATGGGGAGCAGCCTGCAAGGGGAGACCGGGAGGTTACCCAGCTGTACCGAGCCTCGCCTTTGCCCCTGCCAGTCTGCACAGGGCACTGGCCCAAGCCCAGCCGGCTGTTATACCCTTCTTGCTGCAGGAAATGGGACCCCGTCCCCTCCTAGCAGACCTTTCCCCTCCCAGCACAGGGCTATTCCCAACGTTCCTGTCCTCGTCCACACAGCAGCACATGCACTCACACTGTGCTCAAATGGTTGAGGGACCTGGTTCACCACCAAGCCAAGCAAGTGAGAACTGTCAAGGAGTCTCAGCTT